TTATTTTGTAGCTTTTTGGTGTGCTTTTGGTGGTGAATCTTTTAATTACCTTGAAAATAAATACTTATATTATGTCACATTCGAACAACTCAAAATGTTTCGTTAGAGACATTGTAATCTTAAATAATTGTTTATTTGTTAAAGACAAAATAAGTATTCAAACATACAGTTTACTTTTGAATATTCATAATGGCATATGAGTTACTGAATATTTTTAGGTAAAATCAATTTTTTGGATCAATTTCATAAATTATTTAAAAGTAGATTTTATTCATATTGGTTTAGATGCTGTTTTAAATTAATACATTCTTTAACATCTTCAATGAAATTTTTACAAAAATGTATGTCTTGAATTTTTAATTTTTCAGAAGGTAAATTTTAAAAATCATATAAAAATTTCAAAATTATCGTGTAAAAACTCGTACCTAGTTGGCATTTTTGTAATTCTTGAAGCAATTAATCAAGTTACAAAGAAAATTATAATTCATTTATTCAAGAATTCAGTTCTTGTTTATTATTCAAAACATTGTAAGAGAGAAATTTAAATACTGCTTACAGATTTTATTTACTTTTTAATATCAGTTTCTTCATTTTTCTTTGAATTCTTCAAAATGATGTCATATGTTTTTAATCAATAAGAGAGTTATATAATTTCATTATTGTAAAGTTATGTTAATTATGAAATTTTTTTTATACTTGCTATATTAATCTTGTTGAAAAGAGATTCCCTGAATATCATTACTGGTTTTCCCAAATGTTCTAAATGATTCTGTGGTTCTTATGCTTCATCTTTAATTATGATTTTTTCTTTAGCTTTTCACTGCTTGTAAAAAATCGAATGTCTTAAAAGTGCATTTTATCTCATTTCATGGTTGTATTATTCAGGTATGACAAGCATCATCTCTTGAAAACCAGTACATTATAGTTATATTTATAATGTGCTAGATTTAAAAGTTCTGCTAATTGCTGATTGTAACTTTTGTCATTGGTAGTTAGAGAAAGTAAGGTTTCATTCCTTGCAACAAATTAAAACAAGTGTATAATTAACTGTTTCACAGTGTCCAGAGGAAATTTAAAGAATAAATAACACATGATACATATTCTGCATGAAAACGTTTTTCCTTCCTTAATGCTTGGATACACAATTAAATTTCTGATATGTTGCTGGCATTGTGTAGTTATTGACAGAGCTGCCAACTATCCCAATAAAACACGAAATTCCTCATGTTTCATCATTTTGCCTGTAAATCTCCAAATCTCCTGATTTTTAATTTACTTGACTTTAGATCATGTAAATCAAGAAGAAATTTTATTACGAAGTGTAAATAAAGAAGGGGGGAGGGAGAATGCTACAAAAAATTTTGCCGAAAATTCTTTAAGGGAAAAACATTTCTAAGACAATAATGTTTTTGTATTTGACATGAAAATTTCTATTTTTTCCTAAATTAATTTTTTCTTAAAAGATTTCAAAGTAATTTTTTTAATTAGATTTTATTTAATTTATGTTACAGAGATTTGTAGAGCATTTTATGAAGACTTAACTAACATTTAATAGACAAGCATTTGCATTTAATTTTGAATTAAATTTGTCAATTTCACATTAATAATTTTATCTAAAGATTATATGCATATTTATTGTTTCATGTTCAAAACCATTTTGATGAATAATTTTTTTCCCCCTACCTACTTGAGTTTTCACCAGTATTAGATTTTTAAAAATCTAATGAAATTAATTTGAGACCAAAGCTTAGAATATACCGTATTTGCCGGCATATAAGACACACTTTTTTCTTTGAAAATAGGTCTGATAAACGGAATGTGTCTTGTACGTCGATACTCAGTTTATTTGGAGTTACACAGTTTTTTTCTGGTTTCCTTGCGGAGTTTCTTTGTGAATGGGTCAGAGCTTCATGGGATGCTGTGAAAACAGAGACAGTGGTTAAATCATTTAAGAAGTATGGCATTAGTAATGTACTGGATGATACAGAGAACAATTTGCTGTATGAGGACTCAGATGCTGATTTAGAAGAAGTTTCAAGTGACTCTTCATTTAGCTCTGGAGATCAGTGTCTGGGTTTTGACGAAGAAGATTAAAAGGTGTTCTTTCCCAGATAGATTGGGTATTTGCAGAAAGTATTTAGAATTTGTATTGCTTTATATTTAAAATACTGTAAATTCATTATAATGATCAGTAATAAAATTTTATCTTTCAAAAATGTGTATAAAAAAGGGGGTGTGTCTTATAGGCCGGTGCATTTTATAAGCCGGCAAATACGGTAATTTGCTGTTCTAAATTTGATTTAATATATATTATATACAAAATTTGTTACGAATAGTTTAATAATTCAGGTTATGCATTCTGTTTAAAACAAACTTGCTATTTTGGAGTCATTTCGAAGTTATGCCTTTGCATTATATGAAAACCTCCTTTTATTTATTTACTTTTTATTTCAAAGCTGGCAGCTTAATATATCTGTGTAAAAAAATGGAAGAGAATCTTCTGTGACTTTAATCATTTCCTCAGAATTATTGAGTATTTGGGGGGAAAATAAATATAAAAATCATTCCACTGAAATACCATATTTGAATATAAAAGATAACTAGTCTACATGGGGCATAGCTGGGGATTGACTATATCATCAAAATTAAATAGTGTTAAACAATTTTAATTTCATAATGATGTTTCTCACATTTTTTTAGCTGTTCATAAGACAAACTCTTCAGATATGTAACAAACAAATCTTTCACATTTTTGTAATCAGAATCATATTTTGTGTATTGTTTAATGTGACCTGCTTGTAAAGAATCGAATCTAGAATAAGACCCACAATTTCACATGATTTTGGTCTTTTGTGGATATGGTCATCCTAGAGAGAGGATATTGATATTCATTGTTTATCTATGTTCTCAGGAACATAATCACTTTCAGGCGTGGCCACTTTAAAGGTTTGGTTACCTATAGGAACTTCATTGTATTTCATCATAGTTTGTAATGGAAGTCCATGGCTATATTTTTGCTACTGTAATAATTCTTTATTAAATATCTTTCAGATACCCGATTTTTTTTGTAAATATGTAAGGCATCTGATAACCACTTGATGATTTACTTTTGAACAATTCTTTTTTTTATTTATTATTCATCAATGAGACGATTTTAGACAAAAAAGAAGTTTAAAAAATCTCTAAATGTTGTAGAAGAATAACATTTTTTTTTTCAAGTGAGAAGAAATTGATGTAGTTTTTAAACATTTAAATATGAGCATCTCTTTTCCAATTTGGCATGTATTTAAGATTCACCTTTTTTGCTTAAGGGGTTAAATTTTTATTTATCAGATCCTCTAATTTACAAATTTAACAAATACATATATCGTGTTTTAATCCTGCCGTCACAAATATCATCTGTCTGCGCAAACAGTTCACATTGCCATGTTTAATCATATTTTGTCAAACGATTTTGGCATTTAGAAGAAAGGGACTTACTTAAGAACACTGTTATGAAATTTGTAAAAAAAGTATCTTTATCATTAAGTACAAGGTGTCCGAATGGGACTATTATGCTACCAGATTAAAATCATCATTTACTTCCAATTCTGTTGCAAACAGTCAGCCACAGAATGTCACCAAATCATGTGCACAGCTTTAAGTACGAATGTTGTATCATATGATACTGTGAAGGTTTGGTACCGATAGTTAAAAAACAAGGACTATGACATTCAAGAAGCAGAGCGCTCTGACAGGCTTACTGATGTTGATGAAGCCCCTCGTGAAGGAAGAGATCAATATTTTGGAAAAAGATCAGGAATATTTTGGATTTGCGAATATTTTGGAAGATGATCAGTATCCACCACTTGAGAGCTTGCTAAGAAGTTAGACGTTAGTGCCTTGTCCATTGGTTGTGCTATGCATCGCATTAACTTGACGTACAAGTTCAGTCGTTGGGTGCCGCATGAGCTGACTCAAGCAGATATGGACAGACATGTTTGGGATGCACTAAGACTCTTGCATATCAATGCACAGACAAGATTCTGGACCGTTTGTTGCTTGTAAAGACAATTGAATTTACTTCAACAATATACGCCGAAAAAGGGGGGGTTGTTCTGCACCCGGTGAGCTCATGGCAGCGTTGCAAAGTGCAGTTTGACTAACTAAAAGATCATGCTTTGTATCTGGTGGGATTGTCATGGTATTATCCACTAGGAGTATCTAGAAAAAGGTACGCCTCGACAGTAAGGGGTACAGCGAGATACTAGTCCATGTTAACGTTGCTATCAAGGAAAAACATTGAACTGAATTCCAGCACAAAAAAATAATGTTCCATCAAGATAATGCAAAACCACATGTGTCTGCATTCACCGGCTGGACTCTATACAGACTCGAAGGGATCTTCTGCCACACCATGCAGCCCCGGCATTGCTCCTTCAGGCTTCTACCTTTTTTGACACCTGCAGCTACATTTTATTGGTGCTATCTTCAATTCTGCACAGGAAATCCAAAATGAGGCTGATCTGTTTTTTTACTCACAGCCATCAAGTTTCTGGGCTGAAGGCTTTCAAAAACTACCAAAACATTACAGAAAATCATAGATTTGGGTGGTGATTACTACACACTCTAAAGGTACTTCTTTCATGTTTTTTTTTTCCTAAGGAAAACCTTGGCTGCAACCAGATAATTGAGCATAAATGGATGTTTACCATTTAATATCCTCTTAGTGTTGTCATATAATAAGTACTTCTCTAACAGAAGTAATAAATAAATTGTGCTTAATTCAATGAATAGGTTGTAGTAAGTGTTAACTAAGGTTCAAACAAAGTACGTGAAATTTCCCATTAAAAATATGAATGGATAGAATGTAGCGATATTCCTTATTATATATTAGCGTATGTAATGATTAAGATTTTATAAACTTAATTTTAATTTTTGTAATTTTGCTGAATATTTAGCATAACGTGATTTCATATATCAAAATAATTGTATGTAATGGCTTTTCTTCTCAACTCCAGGTGTCATTTTGTATATGGGTATGTTGTTGGCATACGAGAATTGGCATTTACAGATCCTTCTCCTGATGGAAGAGAGTTTGCAGCTGCTTACACTGGAACAGATAATTTTCTTGTCTATAAATAATTATAGAATTGTTCTTTAAGAAAATTTCGGTTTTTATTTATTTCATTTTTGAATTTTTATTCCAGGCTATTTTGAACAGTGATTGTATTAAATTTTGTACTATATAACGTTAATGAGGCTATTTTGAGCTGTAATTGTATTAAATTTTGTACTGTATAAAATATATGTATTAATTTAATATATTAATTTGAATTACTATGCATCAGGATTTTTCTGGACTACTTTAAGATTTTGTTCCATAGATTTTATTGTGTATCATTCAAATATAAATTTGTAAAAATAGCTTTGGTTTTATTTTTTAGATACTTTCTTTTTATCTGATGTGATTATAATTATAATGACTGTGATTTCATTTGAAATCTGAAGCAAAGGCATTTAAAATGTATATGAATGTTCAAAATTTTTTATGGACATAATATTATCTTATTAAATTCTGAATGGGTTGAGGAGAGGGAAGAACTATGCTATAGTAGAATTAGTATTGAAAATAGAAAGCTGTAAAGAATTATTTAATTATATTATACCCATTTTAAGTTGATCAATAACATTCACATCAAGCCATTTTAAATAACACTGTGATCGCTCACATAGTTCAATACTATAATTTCTCTGTACCATTACTGACATATTTTATGTAAATCCATGCATAAAAACATTTTATAATTTTCTGGCATCTAGGTATACTTTTGGTTAACTGAATTTTTCAGAAATAACATGGTGCTTTTTAACTGTTTTAAATATGATTAAAATAGGATCTGAACATTAAATTTAATAACTTTTGGAAACTATTTTTATATGTATGTTTCTTAATTATTCATTAAAGTGATTAACCTTGCAAAGTTGTATACATGTAATTTGTTCTTTTCAATAAAGAGTTTATGAAATGAATACATGTGTTAATCATCTGTATTTGCTGTATTTTAATCTTTTCCATACTAATATGCTTTAAATTACAGTCATAGTTTACATTATAGTCATTGTTTACTATATAAAACTTTGTTTGAGAGTGTTTTAAATATATAAAAAGAATGCAAGGCATTAAAGAATAAAACTTTATAAATTGACCTAAATATTATGTGAATTCAGGGTTCGTATGATCTTTAAAAGTACTTAAAAGTCCTTAGGTTTTTTTTTTGGAAACTATTTTTGACCCTTAATATTTTTTAATTTCGGACTAAATCAGCGAAAGGTCCTTAATTTTATTAATCTGACATTTCTAACTCTTTTTTACAACTGCCATTTTGAATACTAATTAACATTTTGGAAGCATATTTTTCGATTTATTGACAAACATGTGTTTGATGTGTTATTTGAATTCTTTCCTACTTCTTAATAGGGAACAAGGCACTGCCTCGTCTGAAGCATTTAACATTTCAAAACTATTACTTTTTTGAGAATGAAAAGTTCATCAAATATTACATCAAAATATCTTTTCCCCTTTCGAGATATTATTTCTTTTACTATGTGGTACTAAATTTGGTGATTTATTAGCATTTTAGTGATTTCAGAATAATTTTATATACAAAATTTTTTATCTGGATTTTTACGAATTTTTAGACGATTTTTTTACAAATGTAGTAAAATTGATAAATACCATTAATAATGGTAATATATTAAAAATGTAATTAAGAATAACATTAAAATAAAACATGTTTGTCTTCCCATGCCATATTTTAAAATGGCCTTACTTTCTGTTTTGTTGATGTGGAAATATTTTGATTCTGAAAATTAAATAAGATAAATTTTACTTCGGAAAATATGCAACATAATTTTCAAGGCACTGTTTAGCAAAAGCTACTTTACTTATTTTTAAATTAATTTCATTTTTCTTCTTTTCGATTTTTTCATTAAAGTTCCCCTCCCCCTCCATGTAGTTGTTTCAGGATATTAAAATATGTATCAGTTTTCTCTTAAAAATTCACTTTATACTTTTCTTACCTGAATTTTTATTCAAAAAGCTTTTTGCTCTTAAGTGTTGAGAGGGATAATTTTTATACCTTGCACCCCTGAAGGTTTAGAAGGATTTGGAAGCAAGATTTATAGACACACGGGGAGGGAAAAAAAAAAAAAAAAGAGAGAGAGAAGAAAAGGTTTCAGATTTTAAATTACATCTAAAAGGGGTGTTTTTTAAACATTTTGTGTTATCTTTATTTATTAAATATGTATCAGTTTCGAATATGTTCTTCACGAATATCGAATATGTTCTTCACGCTTAAACCATAAATTCAGTTCAAGAGCAATATCACAAAATAATTTTAAATTGAGCATATCTTTAGAATTTCTGTTATACAGTCTCACCCACTGGAGATAAAAATGTTTTTTTCTGTACAATGTTGCCATTTCTCGCTTTGAAATCGTTTAGTTTGTCAATCAAAAATTCGTTGAAGTGTTACAAAATATGAAATCAATAATAAAACAAATTTCAAATTCAAATTAGGGCTTCCACATGCCCATATTCTATTAAAGATTACATTAGTCAAATTTTGATGGCTCTAGGTACCATTGTTTTATAAAAATGTGAGAAACATATATACATTTATGCAGATTCTTCATTATTTAATTTCTTCAGATATAATACAGGTCGATAATATGTGGTGGCAACGATTTTGAAAAGTGATACAGCCTTTTAAAGGTTTCAGTGCAAAATTGCAAAACGAAAACAATACAATGGTCCTTCAGGGAAAATTGCCCCTTTGGACTGAAGGGGGGGGGAAGTGACGAAATGAAAGATGTTTTTCTGGTACACAATGAACACAATGAACGTGCTTTATAGGAAGTTTGTGATGAATTTTTTATTTTGTAGAAAATGTTTGAGGGAACAGTGAAAACAAAGTTATTTGAATTTTCTGCTTTTGATTCTTTAAGTTTTTCTCATAGCATGTTTATCTTCCCTTTATTTTCTCATCTTTCCACAAAGCATGGAGAATTGCAAAAATAGTTCTAATCTTATCACATAGATAGGCATCTGTAAAAAAAGAATTTTTTCTATTAGTAAAGATATTTAGAATTGACAATTTAAAAGGTTCATCTTATGTCGCACTGCACCGTGCACTAGGCAGTTTGCCACCTGGTGCAATCTATATGGGTCCTAAATCGTGCTGCCTTGTGTCTGTCCTAAATCGTGCTGCCCTGTGTCTGTCCTAAATTCTAAAAGTTTTGCTATCCGTAAATTTTGTTGAGTAATGCTTCTCTAACTTCTAAAAATTCTCCCACGCTGACTATTGTTCTGGCCCTGACCTTGTATCATTCCATATGCACTCTTTTGCAAAAAAAATTGGAGCACCAAGAAGGACTTTTGCAATCGTGACGAAATTTGGTATGCAAAAACATCTTGATCGAACATGCAAATGATCAAAGTTTCAAGGCAAATGAACGGGAATTGGGATCATGGTGCGCAATTCGCAAAGTATAAAACCAGTAACAGAGGCGGAAAATTATCTTATTTTTTTGTTGCTGCTATTGTAATTACGTAAAGAAGCAACTAAAGATACCATTACGACAATATTGAAAACCTTACAGACAACTAAACGACTTCGAATGTGGTCGCATTGTAGGGTTGAGTGAAGCTGGATGGTCATACCGAACAACAGGCCGCCACCTGCAGCGTACAGACACTGCCGTGCAAAGATGTTGCTAACGAAATGAAGGCTCTGGGAGGCCAAGGAGCACAAATGCGATGCAAGATACGATGATTGTTCGCCAGGCCCGAACTGCCCCAACGGGTATGATTATCAACTATTCAACGCACTACAGCCACGTCTATACCTCCCGTGGTACCGTCCACCATCTCTCGGCTTTGATGTACATTTTGACTGGTGTGCAAAACTTAAGCAACAATGCAAATTTTAATCAGATAACCATGCAGTTGCAGAAAAAGGGTTCTTGCTATCAGTACAATGAACACACAGTTCAGTAGAAAGGTCATGCATATGCAAATATCAGGGGAAAAAAAACGTCACAGGCTACGTGATCGTACGCAAAACGCGTGCGGTCGGCCAACACCTCCTTATAGAAGGAAGCCGGGACACTGAAGCGAGGGGAAGCTCTGACGTCACAGGTAGTCGTCTCTGACTCACCTCGCTCCTTCAAACAAAATCAAAGCCCCGTAGTTGAGCCAAGAGCGACGAACGTGGAGCGGTTATTTGCGTTAGCGACAGAGTTTTTATATTGTCTCGTGCTTTTTTTATATATTGTCTCGTGCTTTTATAATTTCATACGATGCCTCATAAATGTGCTGTAGCCACATGTCGTGGTAATTATAAAAACGGACCAAAAGTGGCTGTATTCAAGTTTCCAAATGAGACTGAACTCCGGATGAAATGGATAAGGAGTCTACGAAGAAAAGATGGCTTTCAACCTACTAAACATACCAGAGTAAGTTCAATTTTACTGCATTTTTTATGTTTTGTATCTTTACATTTTTTTATTACTTTTATTGATAGGTATGTGATGTTTATGCTTACGATATTAGATTTTGATCTGTGGGTAAGAAGTTTTATGTTTGAAAGATTTTAATCTTGCCTGTTTTAATCATTTCAAAAAAATATTTTCCTTCAAAGTTTTATGAATGAAATAAAGTTCCATATAACAGGAATAATTCTAAATTTAGTAGTTACATAAATGCCAATAATTTGTAAATGCTTTCTAGTATACTGTGCAGGCAGATTCTGTAGTTATTCCAAATTTATCATAATTTATATGACAAGGAACTACTAAGTAATCATAATAGGTTTCATTTTAAAATTTTTGTAATGATATATGAAAGTTTGGTATGATGTATTCAAGGTAATTATTTGTATTTGGTAACCAGTGTTTGTTGTAAACAATTATCTCAAATATATAATTTTCTTTAAATGTAAATAAAGCTGTAATCATTATGATGAGCATTCCAGATTTTACAAATTACTTAAATTATACACGTAATTGAAATGATATTACTGGTTTTTTAATTCGTATTTATGTATCAAATTATTTATTTAAATCATAGGGCTTATTGACTTCTGTTACTAAATATTAACATGCATCTAACTTTTGTACTCACAACAAGTTGATTTTTGAATATTTTCTTTTATAGGTATGTGAATTACATTTTCGATCAGATGAAATAATACGAGAAATCGAAATGTATGATGAGAAATCAGCGAAGTTAATTAAAGCCCCAATTTCTAGGCCACGTTTGAAAAAAGGATGCATACCTTCTCAGTTCCCTGATGGCCCATCCTACATGTCATCAAATTCTGTATCGAGAATGTCACCAGAAAAGAAGAAAGCTCGTTTAGAAGAGAAATACCTGGAGAAAGCGATAGAAGAAAGTTTGAAAATGAAAGAACGGTATGATAATGAACGATCATTTGAAAGTTTAATTGAATTCAATAATTGCCTAGAACATCAGATTTTAGAAACATTTTGGACAACTGTACATACTGAAAATTCAACTATGTTACTTGATATTTTAAGTGACCCAGCTCCAGAAATTCAGAAATCGGTAGTAATAAATGAGGATTTAACAGTATGTGTTTATATTAAAAACATCGCTATAAAATCTATTGGTAAATTTGTTTTCCCTCTAAAAATTAGTAATGTAAATATGTTTCTAGAAGTACTAAAGGAAGTTGAAAGTCTGTCTCATAACTTACAAAATGAAGAATATATTAAGAATTCTATACAAATTGTGGATGATATGCTTTCAGAATTGAAAAGAGTGTTACCTGAAAAAGAAACTGAACTGAACTTCCTTTCAGAGCAAGTAAATAAACTAAATGTAAAGAAAGAGAAGTATCGATATACTCCAGATTTACTTATTTTTTGCAGTTTGTTAAACTCGATCTCACCGCATGCATACAAGTTTTTACGACATTCAGGTTACATTTCTATTCCCCATCCACGTA